AAAAATGGGTCCCGGGGAAATCCTGAAAAGAGCCAAAGCAGGTTGCACTGAGTCAGAGGTCACAGGTCACCGAGACAGCACTTGCTTTTGAAGACCCAGTGGCAGAGCTGACCCTACAGGAAGAGCTGCATGAGGCTATAAGACAGATTGTCTCTTTGCAAATAGAAGTCCCACAGGAACAACAAGAGTACCTGCAGGAGATATTGGAATGCCCACTATTTAAGAATACAGAGCCAGAGGAGACAACAAACAGGCCAAAAGAAGAAGGGAAAGTGTTGCTTGGTCCAGAGGAAAATGCACCCAATGGTGAATACAGTCCCAGTGCAAAAGAGCAGTGCATGGAGTTGATAATAAACCTGTATTCCCCTATCACACCCAGACCAATGGCAGAGGACCCAGCAGGCCTCTGGATGGACGGAGGGGAAGAAATGAAGGAGAATGCAGGATATGTGGTACTGGATGAGTGGGAAGCAGAGTCGGACTTCGAGTAGGAAGAGGAAAACAGCAAGAGGAGTTGGAAGAAGGAGAAAAATGATTTATATAAAAGCTAAAGGCATAGAGTAAGAAGTTAAGGTAATTATTAAGTAAGGATAATTATAAGATGTTCTTTGTACACTTTGTTTAATGAGTTGTATTGAAATGTGTAAAGCTAAAAATAAAAGTGATTGTATTGCAACATTAATTTTGATGAAAAATATGTAATGTGGCTTTGTAGTTAAAATTAAATATTTAAGTAAAGAAAGAAGGTGAGAAAGAAGACAAATGGAGAAAAATCAACATTGAGTCATGGTAACAGTTGGTGGTTACAGGCACTGCCTGGGTGTGGACCAAGAGATAACAACAGCTCCAAGTGACTGCTGTCTGAAGGCCAGAGACAGTGACAGTTGGTAAAAAGAAGAAGTCTGACTGGAGAAGAGGAGGCAGCCTAACTCACAGAAATCCTTCAAAAACCACAGCAAAAAGACGAAGAAGAAGACTTTTGGCAGTTTGTAGCAGTGAGGAAAACACAAGAGGCAGAAATGGAGGTAGCACAGATAAGGATGTTGAGGTTCTCTTTAAGAGTGACTAGGATGGACAGGATTAGGAATGAGCCCATCAGAGGGACAGCTCAGGTCAGCTGTTTTGGGGACAGGGTCAGAGAGGCCAGATTGAGATGGTTTGGACATGTGCAGAGGAGGGATAGTGGTTATATTGGTAGAAGGATGTTGGAGATGGAGCTGCCAGGCAAGAGGTCAAGAGGAAGGCCAAAGAGGAGATATATGGATGTGCTAAAAGAGGACATGAAGTTAGTTGGGGTGAGAGTAGAGGATGCTGAGGATAGAGTTAGGTGGAAACAGATGATTCGCTGTGGTGACCCCTAATGAGAACAGCTAAAGGAAGAAGTGAGAGCAGAGAGCAGGTGGAGGAACATCTGGAAAGGTGGAGGTCTGCTCTGGAAAGAAGAGGAATAAAAATGATTTGGTGGAAGCTCCATTATTTGGTTCTCACATGAACAGGGATCACTCATTATTCTAACGTTTATTTACATAGACAGACCCAGTATTATTAGCCATGTACCTGGCAGCATCAATAAACAATGATCATGTCGTGCTCACAATGTAAACACAAACTGTAATGATAACACGTCACCGTATTGATGATGTTGGTTATTTCAATGAGCGACCTTCCGTCTCAAAGTACAGTGACAACGTTAACATGTCTAACCTTTATAAAACATACTATCTTAATACAGAATGAAAACACTGAATAAAAGAACAGGGTGGCCTACCTTAAAGACCCTACTTCACAGGAGAGGAACTCGTCTGGGCTAACTCACCTTTCTGGATCAGAGTCCTTGTGAGTCCAGACGAGGTTCCTTCTTTACATGAGGAGACTTTTATTCCGGCCTCCAGCTTCATCCCTGGAACACCTAACACCGCTTGTTAGGTGTTCCAAAACAAAAAGAACAGTGAAAACAAAAGGTTCCTTCTCCAAAGAAACGCTCCGTGCACGGCTGATCTTTCGAGTCTCCGTTTTCCCACACGCACAACGCATGTGAACGCAGTTTCTACGCGATTCCCCTCGTTGGGTTTTTGTCTCCGTAGCTGTTTGGTAGTTTCAGGAGAAAAGCCACAGCTGCTCTGAGGTTACGAGCCAACACCAGCGCGCTTCCTCCTCGAAATTAAAACTTTGCGCTTCGGTCACGCCCACCCTGCATTGTGGTCGCTGATTGGTCTGTGGAAACTCAATACGTCACTTCCTTTTCCGCCGCCGACATTTCCCCCCCTTTATTCAATTTCACAATCAAACAGGCGTCTTTCTCGTATCAGTGTAAAATCCAACAACAGAGCAGCAAAAACATTGGGAAGAAAAACAAGGTTGTCAAACCGGTTGTAAATGTGGTTCAAGGAATCTGTACAATCGGACTCCATCTTTCCTCTGTTTAAGGATTTGGCCTAAGATATCAATTCACTTAAAAAGGCAGAGTTTGAAAAATCTGCATTCGTGAAAATAATGTTTATCCAAAATCTATTAATTATTATATCATTTTTCTAAATTTCTATCAGACAACCAATAAAAAAGGAGGAGGCAACTCTCCCCAGTCTCTAAACGCATTTTATTAATGTTTAGTTTGGTCTTTTTGTTTGCTACACGTTTTATTTTTCTGGTGGAGAGTATTATTATGTGCACAAAATGCTATTTTTAACGTCAGTGAGAACAATCCATACAGGCCTGTATTATCCACATGAGTAGGAATGATGTTTTGGATGAGAGCAGCTCACAACAACGTGTTGAATGGCACATAAATCACTGTATTCGTCATCCAGCAGCTACAGTCTCAGATTAGGGAGGACACGTGTGCGTAATGGATGGCACAGCAACAGCTTCATCCATTATTCAATGTCAGGTGTGACATTGTTCTGTGTTTTTCTAAACAGCAAATTACAAGGCTTTTTTTTCAAACTGAGCAGTGAACCATCAGTTGTGTGCAGGAGTCCCGAGCTCTGTCAGGTCAGGTGCCGCGACCTGCCTCACATCCCTCTTTCTCTCCCATCCCGCGTGCTCAGACACTGCTGAGACGCCTCATCTGATAATTGACTCCAGGGTGCAGCACACAGTTGACGCTCATTCCACTAATTACTTCCCTTTCTTGTTTAAACCCCCGGTAGACCCTCCGTGGCTGCCAGAGCTTTAATGTATTTGGATCATGTATACGCGATGCCAATGCTGCCAGTTCCTGTGCGGTTGATCCCTTTTTTTTCTTTTTCTTCTCTACACCTCCGGCGATTCTCATCTGCCCGTCTTCCTGGTTCAAGCGTCCCTCCTGGGTTCCTCCTGGTCTCCTCGTCCTTCCTGGTCTTCTCCTGGGTTCCTCGTCTCTCTGGTTCATCGTTCCTCCTGGGTCCTCGTTTCTATCTTCCTGGTTCCTGGTTCCTCGTCGTCCTGGTTCCATCGTTCCTCCTGGTTCCTCGTCGTCCTGGTCCTCTGACTCTCCTGTTCCCTACAGTCCTCCTGTCTACTCACCTGGCCGTCCTGGTCTCCTCAGTCATCACTGCCCTACTCAGGTTAATGGACTATACATATACTCAGTACTTTATTTGCTTTTCTCCAATAAACCACCTTTTTTTTTTTTTACTAGCACCTGGGTCTGCATCCTGAGTCCTACCTCTTGTTCTCCCTCACCCCCTGGTGAGGGGGCTCAACCATAACAAGCTCCATCATTTCTATGAAAACAAAAACTCAGGCATGTTTTTCAGTATGAAAAATGATCCAACCTCTAGGCTTCACCATAAACTAATAAAACATGTTGGTGAAAATCTTTTAGAACCAGTTCACATATGGAACAGACTGCAGTAGACCAACCAATCCTGACCTGCCACAACGCTGAGTGCAGAGTGGTATCTGTTGTCTCTAAATCAATCCTGAACCTCCTGTTGTCTGGATGATGACATGTCAGTTTGTTACAAGAATAAAAACACGCTGTCAAACTGGGGTCTGGGGGATTTTAGGGTTGATGATGTGCGTAACATGACTGAATAATGTCAGCAAAACATTATGGAACAAAAATGAGGAAGAAATGCTTCTTTGTCTTTTTAATGAGGAAGCTCATGTGACTTGTTTCAACTCATTTATCTTCTTACTGTTTGTAGTGATTTTTCCGTTAGGAAATAGGACGTGAGCGTGGCCTTAGAGAGAATCGCACTTGGTCAGGTGAGCCGAGGACGTCCTCACTGCTGCTGGGTGCTTTCTACCATCACCACTGAGCTTCACCACACATGACAGAACAGAAGGGTCTGTGTTTGGCAAAGGTCACAGCAGGTCTCATGAGAACTGATTATCCTGTAACTTGTTCCAGTGCAGTGAAGATTCTACTGATCTGTTTCTATTATGGAGACGTTTAGGACACACACGCCACTGTGATGTCTTTTCCTGCCACTCCTGTTGACTACATGTCTGTCCTGGAAAAGTGACCCTGTCCTCTATCACTCCTCCAGGAGTTTCTCACTTTGGGGGAGTATCTGATTCCTGCACATTGTGATGCTCAGAGTCTAATTTATGGTGCTGGACTCTATAAATAAGCCTACACAGCTATGAGTGTAGTTGAACTGTCAGCAAGTTACTGCAAAATGTAGTTAAAGCAGCAGTTTCATTACCTGTAGGTCACTACTCCCCAACACTGGTAAGAGTGTTCTAATCAAGACTACTTACATTTCAGAGGCCCGTATTGTGCTTTTTACGACAGATTTAGTTATGAGGCATATCACATTTGTAAAATACCCAACAATCAAGAGCATGTGAGATGTAATGCACCAGTATAAAACAGTATAATCAGCTCCACCTCTGTCAATCAGATATCAGTCCCGAAGATGTTGTCGGGAATAATTAAAACCCAAAATGTCAATAAAAATTATGCAGACGTGGTCACTTTGTCGAGGAGCGTGTGGTATGCCCTGTCAGAGAGGAGAGAAAGTGTCACGCACCGAGTTATGGAAACTACTTCAGTAATCCTTCACCAGGTGACTCTTAGTAATAATCACTTTATGACGAAGACAGGCGTCTGTGGTGGCGCAGAGAAGCAGGTCGGACAGTCAGTCCACACCACCTCCCTGGCATCACCTCCGCCTCCTCTGGTAAGTGTCGCTGCCTTGTGAGCTGTATTACATACATGCACTGTACTGACCGTAAGATGTGGTGAAATGTGGCTAACTTTGAATTCTGGCTTTAGTGACACGGTAAGAGTTGTAGCCCGCTGCTCCTGGGTCCATCAGTTGGCTTTAAAGACAAAACCCAAACGGCAACAATGGGTTCAGTTAATTACAGGTTTCAGAAAATTGCCCAACACAATTGTGACCTTCATTCATACGCTGACATCAAATATTGAAATGCAAATCAGCTGGTGAATCACAGGCGGCAGAGCTGTCCTTTAAATACCACGCAAGCCATCCGGTTGTCCTCGCAGGGCCTGGCAGATGGGACCCTGCTGAGCGGGACAGAAGGAGGCCAGAGACGGTTTTGGTGGAGAAGACTGAAATCGGATGATGTGCGTTGTGGGCGCGCGGCCCTTCGACAAACCAATGCAGGCATCACCTTCAGCTTCACCTGGTATCCAAAGGCGGCACACACTACCTGCAAGCGAAGTTCGGCCGCTCAACGCGCAAGACGCAATAAGCGTGTTTGAAATCGAGCGAGAAGGTAAGTGGTCGATCTCATCAGTCATATAGTGAAGCTGAAATCTGCTGCTGAGGTAGAAATCTACTGAGGGAAACGAGACCCGATAGAATGCCTTGTATAAATCCATATGCTCCGTGGCATCACCACTCTGAAGCTCTGTTTTTAGCTTAGTCACTTCACGTATTATTTGGAGTTTAAAAAGACTGTGTTAAAATTATGTTCAATCATACCTTATTGAGCGATTCGAGCAGAGGTGGGCGTGCGTAAAAGTGTGCCAAACCACTATTGCGCACGGGCCAAACTCTGTCTCTCTCTCAGCGTTTATCTCAGTGTCAGGTGAGTGTCCCCTCCACCTGGATGAGGTGCGCCATTTCCTCACACTGTGTCCGGAGCTGTCCATGGGCTGGTTTGAGGAGGGTCGGCTGGTGGCGTTTATCATCGGCTCTCTCTGGGACCAGGACAGGCTCACTACAGTAAGACTGCCTTTCCAGATCAACTCTTAAAAACAAATGCAAATGATGAGAGCAGTAATTACGATCTCACTTTGTTCCAGGAAGCGCTGACTCTGCACAAACCCTGCGGCTCTACCGTCCACATCCACGTCCTGGCCGTCCACCGCACTTTCAGGCAGCAGGGCAAAGGTCCCATTCTGATGTGGCGCTACCTGCAGTACCTCCGCTGCCTGCCCAACGTGCGCCGGGCCGTACTGATGTGTGAAGACTTTCTCATTCCTTTCTACAGCAAAACTGGCTTCAAGGTGCTGGGGCGCTGTGCCATCACCTTGGCCAACCTCACCTTCACGGAGATGTCGTATCCCATCAGCGGCCACGCGTACATGCGTCGCAACAGTGAAGCAATCCGCTTCCCTGTGCCGCTAACAAAGGCCGATGAACATGCTGATGTATGACAAGCTGCTCTTCTTTCACTGAGATGAACTAACTGCAGGTTGTCTTTCATTCCAAATCAGCGTAGTACTGTTTGTAGGACGTGTCAGGGTTTTTCTCCAGCTTTCAGTTTATCTCTGAAATTCTGTCATCGTGTACGATACAGAAAGTACGATACGATACGTGATGTATTATATGTGATCCAACTCTCTTTGTCCTGCGTGTATTACTCCCCAGTGGGAGGAGTAGAATACTGTCAATCGGACGGATTTAACACTGATGGTGTGTTGCATTTGTGGTAGAAATGTGGATTTGTAGCTGCGTGTGTCCTGTTTAGCATCTTTCTGAGCTTCCCACAGCTATGTACTGACATTAGCGACCAGGCTCATGCAGCTCTACGGGGCTTTAGCTACTGTAAACACTTGAGGATTTAAAAGGATCCACTCATCAGTTACCTGCAGATCCAGTGATCTTACTGCCAACCAACACATGTACAGGCTTTGGTCAGGTGTTTCAGCTGTTCCAGTTTCTGTTGTGTGGGCTTTTTCCAAGTTTGTTTGCATTTCAGCATCACAGCTTCATTAAACTGTTCTATACTGTTTTTAAAATGACAAAAGAAGGTGTCTGATTTGATATTTTCTGTCTTTTTAACCTAAATGCACCTACTGACAGAAGATTCTCATGAACCCCTCATTATTGCTACTGTTATTATAATAGCCTTTCTGTTCTTATAATCCACGACACAGTCACCAACTCACACCTAATCCACTAACATCCCAGAGTGAGCAGCTCTCACACACTCTCCACTCCTCAAAAATGACCCAGAACTCCAGTTACCATCAGCACACAGTGACCATGGTACCAGTACCTTGATCTCACCTGCAGCAGCAACTGTTCCACTGACTCGGTAGCGCAGCCTTCCCGGTGACAATGAAAGTCTCCAGAGAGACATAAATAAAGCTTGAAAAAAAAAACAAG